ACAAAGGTTAGAGACTGTAAGAATACTTTTTGAATTGCACATGATCAACCATTGATAAAGGATATTCGTGCATGATTATCATGTTGGCAAGCTCCCTCCTTGTGACATTTTGATCAAAGAAAAAGTTTTTTAGTGTTATTTTTCTATCTGTCTTCCTTTGATTTGCTACCAACACTTGTTGATAAATATCCATTTGAAATCGCTTGCTGCACCTCTCTGAATGCTCACGTAAATGACTTGTCCCATTTTTGAAGCACCACCAAGTTTTTTCTTACAATAATTGCATATTGTCTTCCATTCATTATTGATCTTCTCTTTTTAAAAATGTTTCCATACTTCTGATTTTAGCTTACTTGAGTTATACCCACTATCATCAATTTCAGCACCTTGGTTCGTTACACTTAATGATTGAGTTGTATTTTCATCAGATGTTGAATTGGAGTTTGCTGAATTGGTGATTGATGTGAGGTAAAAGTAGAAGGTGTTGGGGAACACGAATTATCTCTCAAATTAGACATTTTACCTTCATTCATAAAAAAAATAGAGTTATTATTTTTTATATAACAAATAAAGCAACTGAATAAATTAACTATATAAAACCAGAATAAAAAGGTTTATTAACAAATAATTCTACTGAAACAATTGAAAAACAAAGTTAGAATCTAAGTATAAAAAAAATTAGACAAGTTCATTCCTTAAAAAAAAAGTAAGAGATTATCCTACCATGTACAACTTAGCATGCTCTTTAGCCAAATAAGGAGGCTAATTAACATATAAAACAAGTTAAAATATCTTCTTTTGTCTTATCAAACTTAAAAAGCCAAGAAACTATGTAAAGCAATAATAATAATAACAACAACAACATCAACTAGCTAGTTTATCAACTTTTTAAATTATGAATGATTCCCTACATTAACTATAACAATTCTCATGTGTGAGTTGATTAACTCTATAAATGTTCCAAGTTAGAAGAAATTAGGACTAATTTTAATTATAGATATAGGTTTTGTAGTTGCACCATTGCAAAAAGCTTTTCTTTATAGAGAAATTTTGCTCACAACATTAGAGTATGGAAGCTAACATCTATATCCTTGGAAAAGATGAATTCTATTTAAATCTCTTGGAGAGAGAGTTATAAATTTGACAATCACCTAAGTCATGTTATATGGTAAAACCTACTTCATCAATAGCCATATGTTAAGGCAGCATGAAACTATAATTTGTAATTGGATAATTTGTTTGACAAGTAAAATATGGTGAACAAGCTAGGTGTGGGCGATGGGAATACATAATACATTGATCGTTACCTTGTAACATCAAAAAGGCTATGTCATTTTCATGACCTATCCTACTACTTCTTGTGGTGTGGGACTATATTTGTTTTCTTTTTGTTCACATTATTACTCCTCAAATGGTTTCCCACTTTAGGTTAGAGCTAAAGATAAATATACTTTAATTATTTTGATATAACCCTTGCTGCAGTAAAATCATGGAGCATGGAAATGATTGGTGATTCCTATATTGCTTTACTATTTTTTTTTTTTTTTTTTGCATTCAAAGTTATCAAAAATCCAACTTTGATAAATGGATCTAACTGTTCAGAATTCTATAAAAAGAACAAAACTGTTGGTTTAATTATAAATAAATCAATACTTAAACAATAAGGATGAAGCTTTTGGCATCAAACTATCAAAGATGAAAAGTGTCATTTGATTTAAAACTGTTTTATTATATGCTAAATAATGCTAAAATTACAGCTAAATATTTCCCACTAAGGCATCTAATTCCAGTTTCTCTTTTTACTTTAATTCTAGAATCTAATCTCACTGAGTATTCAATTCAAAAACCAAGCCATTAAGGCTTGGTACGTTCAACTCTTGTTGTCTTGTCTCTAAGCTATTAGCACGTATTTAAGAAAAATACACAATAAAAATGATTGATACTTGTAAATAAGATATGTAAAAAGATGATTTTAGCTTACCTCAGATCTGCTAGTACTAATGGAGATTACTGAGAGGAAAGCTTGGCTATTGCAATTTTCGTTTCTCAAAAAGGGAAACGGTAGCTCCTAGGCACTAACAATTGGCTCGTCTTCCTTCTCTTTTCTGTCCAATTGACTTTATTCTTTCTGGCTTAAAGGCTTCCTTTGCTGAATTAAAAGAAAGAATCTAAAAATAGATGAAAGCTAAACAGAGGAAGAAATGTGGGATGGCTAGATGGGTGGATGAGCAGATCAAGTTCGTGGTAGGCGTAGGAGCTAGACGAAACGGTAGCAAAGCTCAAGTGGTGATGTAAATGCACGGTGAACGTAGTAGCCCCTTCGGGCATGCTCATTATAGAACCAAGCGAAGAGCTATTGAGGGCTAGAATGAAATATCGTATGTAGTGTAGAATCAAATCTGAAGCTCTGTACTAAGATTGGAACAAGCAAAGAACAAGTGACCACTGACCACAAGCGGAGCTTAAGCGCTCGACATGCAGTTAGCTCAAAACATGTTCATCATGTGGCCGAGCGAAGCGCACCTGTGTGAAGCAGCCTAGCATCACTTTAGATAGAAGCAGAATGGATGACTTACAACTGAAAGTAAGGGAGACGGGAGACCTAGACAAAGTGGCCAAAATAAATTAAAATCCAAAAACCTTAAAAAAAAAATTATATATATATTAAAGGTATTTTGGTAAATATTTTGGGTCGGGTAGGGTCGGGTTTCATACAAACCCGACCCCAACCCGAATCTAACATTTCAAAAAATAAAATCGATACGACCTGAAACCTATTTTTTTTATAAAAAAATTCAACCCTAAATAGTCAGGTCGGGTCGTAACCCGACGGTTTCAGGTTGATTTGTCGACCTAATCAGAACATGCACTCTTCGTCTTTGTTCTTTAATTTATTTCTCTTTTTTTTTCTATTACATTATAAATATTTCAATATTTCATTCTAGGCAAAAGGCATTAAAAAAACATTTGATGTTTTTCAGCTTTTAATTTTTTAAATTTTTTAAAATTTTTTCCTAATTTTATTTTTTAATGGCATTTACATTTTTCTTTATTTTTAGTGATGAAAAAATTAAAAATTAAAAGTGATAACAATTTAAATTGAATTGAATTCGGTTAAGTTTTTTGAATAATATATATTATTATGAATTTTTAAAATTCGATTCAAATTCAATTTTTTTTTTGAAATTGTTTTTACTCTAATCGAATTCTGTCAATTAGATTTAATTTATCGATTTTTAAATTTTAAATTTTATTTATATATATTATTTTAATAAAATTTTAATATATTTAAATAGATTTATATACAAAATAATTATTTTTATTTTATCAAAATTATAAAAAATATATAAAAATATATAATTTAGTTTGATTTAATTTTTTCAAGTTTTTATATCTCGATTCAAAATTCAATCTAAATTTAATATATAAATCTAATACTTAAATTTGATTCGAATCGAATAAAAAAATGATCCAAATACTACGATATCAAATTAATTTTCAATTTTATTGATTTTTTTTCTTACCCTTAATAGAAATGGAGTTCATTGTTAATAAGTAGAATTATGTCTCACTTTGAATGTGCTTATTAAAAATTATTTAAAAGAAAGTTAATTTTAAATTAATTAAAAATATAAATAATAAAAATATTATTTTAAAATAATCATAAGTGTTCTATTTTTTAATTATTATTTTTTTCATATGCCTTTTTAATTATTCTTATGCTTTTAATTTTATGAAATTGAATTTAAACCTTGCTTTTTACTTGTTTATGGTATTTGAAGTTATAAAAATTAAAGTAAAATTTGATAATTATAATGAAAAGTTTAATATTTTATAAAAAAAAAATACCTCTATTGATAAATTTTTTCATTTACTTGTAAATCTTACAAATTGTGTAAAACAAATAAAATTTTTAAAAAAAAGTACATTAAATTGGTATTTGCTTATATGCAAAACTTTAAGTCTTTAACCAAATGATTTAATAATTTATTGAAAAATATTTATAAAAAAAACATTTATCTTGTACAAGATGATTTTAAAAATTACCATAAATAGCAAAATGTCATAAAAATTGGTAATTATTTCTATCAAAATTAATTTACCCAATAAAAAATAAAAGAGGAGGGAAAAAGAATAGTTGCGAGTTGGGACTATGGTCAGCCAAAAGAACGGTCCACATCGACGGTAATTACTTGCGGCAACTTGATTAGTGGGGCCCTCACACGATTAAAACACTTTTCATCGGGCAGCCTCCCACATAATTATACTGGTTACAAACTCAAGAAAAAAGAAACTGGGTGCCCCCACTTCAGAGGCTTATCTCGACACGTGGGTATAGCTGATTGGTTGATACAGGTATTGATTAGGTCAGGGTCATAATTGATCCAATGATATTGATCCACGTAGGAAGTTAAAAATTATAAATGGTATGAGTAACCGCGTGAGATTAGTTCCAATTTTGGGCCATGAGTGTATGCCACTTTCAGTGTATTGGGCCAGCGGTTTGAGAAACGAATCCTCAGGATTCAACTTCTCATTTGCCCTGCCAACTCAAGTTTAATACTCTAGTCCACGATACAATTTACATGAAAATTTTTAAATAAAATTTATAAAAATATTTTTAAATAATTTAATAAAAATTTTATTAAAAATTTAAATCTGTTAAATTAATAAAATTATTAATCCAATTCGAAGATTAATAATATATAAAAAATTATTTAAAATATTATTTATAATTTAAATTTAATTGATACTTAATCAACATTAAAAATTTTATCAACATTTTTGTTAAAAACATCTATTTAAAAATATAGATCAAAATTTATTAATTTTTTTTAAATTTACATAATTTATATAACAAAAACTTTTAATCTATCAATTTTAATTTTTAATTTTAATTTTTATTTAATCATTTTTAATAAAAAACTTTACGAATTTCACCTTAAAATTTTCATATAAAAATTTTTCCCAAAGCAAAGGTTTTGATATTCATTCGGTAATTATTTTTTATAAGTGGATCACAACACTTAATCTTCATTTAAAACAGGATTTTTTAATACAATAAACATTTAGAATCACTAAATTAGCAGCATATATGCACAACTTTGTAACTCAAACTTGTAGGCCATATTGTATATATAGAAACCATATTTGAAATAAGAAAAAAGAAATTCAGCTGACTTTTATTCAATATGGAGCAACTTTCCTTGGCTTGCTCAAAAAGAACTCTTCTTATTAGTGTTAGGCTATATTAGCTTTCAGCCGCTCTGTAAATCTTCCATTTCTTTTGTTTGCTTTCTTCAGCTATTTTTGCACTTCTCATCGTTTTTGTTCTGGGATTTTTCTCTAGCACTTGGGGAGGTCACTGGGAGGCGGTAGAAGAGATTCATTTGGGCCTTTTCCATTGTCCACTACGAATGCCATCTTGAGCCCCCAAGTCGTATGCACTTCCAAATGGCAATGCATGAACCAAACCCCTGGAAAACAAGCGAAAAACAAGGAATTATCAATGATGTTTTCAGTTGGATCTTACTAGAAAATTAAACCATGACCTTTCCTGCACCTGGATTGTCTGCCCTGAACCTTATAGCAGTCCATCCACCAGATGGAACTCCAACTGTGTTCCTCTCAACAGGATCAACAAGATTGAACTTTTTAGGATCCTTTGTGGGGTTGAAATTCCCCAATCCCCTTCCAACCTCAAAGAAGTTGAATCCATGCAAATGAACAGGGTGGTTCTCCGGGGTAATCATCCCTGTATCTTGCAAGACTAGCTGCACGGTGGCGTTATAAGCAAGTCTGTATAGTTTTGTTCCTTGTTTGGTCGCAAAGTTGGTTAGTTGTGAGCTTGTGTAGTTAAATGGAACAGGAGGATTTCCAGGGAAATCATTAGTAAAAACTCCGCTTATGTTGAAGAAATGGGCTTGAAGTAGAGAGATTTTTGGCATAACAAAAGTAACATTGTTAATAGAAGCCACGACACGGCTTCCATTAATGCACGTGGAGCAAGGGTTAATCCCAAGGCCAACGGTGAAAAGAAGGGAATGATCAATCTTTAAAGGAACATTAGCAGGATATTGTTTAGAATTCAGGCTTCGTAGTGCGTTGATAAAATTGTTTGCTACCAAGGTATCGTTTTTGGGAGGGGGTGATGTGAGAGTGGTGACAGTACTTGTAAGAGAACCTGAGTAGTCTAAGGTGGCAGTGGCAGTCACGTTATCTACCGCAATGGGTGCGTCCATGAAAGGTGAGGCTGCAACCAAATACTTTCCTGCGCCACGGTTGGCTTTTAGGAGCACATTTGTGGTCTGCCCTGGGGCTATAACAATGGTGTCCGTTTTGAAGGGTTTCACGTACGTGGCATCAACTTCGACAACAGTGAGTTGATGACCGGCAATTTTAAAAAAGAGTTCTTCATTCAGTGCAGCGTTGATGATTCGAAGCATGTATGTCTTTCCTGGTTTTACTGGCAAGGTATATCCTGCAAATTGAGAGAAAGATAGATGAATTGGAAATGAAAATTATTCGTGGCTTAGCTAAAATTGCTAATTTAACATGCAAACCTGTTGTAGCAGAGTTTCTTACCCTGCGAAGGGCAGCCTGAGACAGGTCCTGGGCGGCCATTGATGGTGTGAGCATCAGAGACATTCGGGGCCAGGCCAGATTTCAAAGCTTCATTGATGACGGCTTCAACATCTGATTTCCACCATTCACCTACATACATTAAATTGAAAATATATATTTATAGCTTTCCCAAAAAGCGATATCCACAAATTTGTACCAGCAACTACTCTCTTGTTTTCAAAAGAAATAAAGGAGAATATTCCAAGTGGTCACTATTTAGGTAAGTTATTGATGAAATGAATTATAATTGATTTCGGAGTTTTACACGATTCGTACAATCATTTTTAAGCTAAGATCCAAATCTTAGTACTTACAAATCTTTCTATTGTTACTTCTTCCGAGCGATTTCCTTTAAAAAAAAAAATCCAATAAGGAACGATATTAATGTTTCTTATCATGCTTACTTAAGATAACAATCTGTTCGTTGTGGGGTTTGGGGAAAGGATAAGGAACACCACGCTTGGGCAAGATAACTATAGCACCATGGACGGTGACCCTTAGCCAGAGGATATGTGCGTGCCACCAAAGGGTGCCCCTTTGACCAGTGATGGTGAAGTTGTACACAAAGGTCTGCCCTGGTTGAATCGGGCATTGGGTTATATATGCCGGCCCATCCGCCCAACCGGTACGTATTTGCCTGATCCCATGCCTGTATCCGCAGGAAATCAAAGTCAAAAGGCATGGATAATTACTTAAAGAATTGTCTCAAGACAGATCAATGGTGGGCAATTTGGACTCACCAGTGGATGGAGAGATTGTATTTGACATGATTGACCACTTTGACAAGAATTCTGTCATCCTCTCTAGCAACTAAAGTGGGACCAGGGTAGAGCCCGTTCACAGTGACAATAGGCTTGGTTGAGCACAATCTTGTTGTATTTTTCAACACCACCTGCACATTTTTGCATAACAATAACCAATCAAATATTTTTGAAACTGGAATTGGTTCCGGTTGTTACGGCTGCCAACTTGAGTTCTGATGAAAACTCTTTATGATGATTTTTTTTTTCTCATTCTTAATCTTAACAGTTTTTTTTTATTAACAAACAGTGCCAATCTTTCAACCAAATACATGAAACAACAGGGTCACATTGATCCTGCATAAAGAATGAAGCTCTAGTTTCACTATCCCAAAAGAATATAGTAAGAAAGAAATCTAACAACTAATAATGTCTCCTACCTTCTTCTGTTAAAATTTATACGAGTACTTCTAGAATCTAGATCAAGAGCAATTTAATTTCATCCTCTGATTAAAGAGAAATGCTTTTATTGGTGCATTTGGGTGGAAAATCAAAGGAAGTGCTTTATGTTGACAGCTTTCGGATGTCGTCTAGGACAAAATTATATGTCAAGTGTGGTTGGTCAGTCATCTTAGCAAGTCTAAAATCAGTAATTAGAAATATTAAAACTAGCACGTTAGGCACGATAACAAAAAAGCAAAGGAAGAAGATTGATCAAACGTGCATGAACATGCATTAATGTAGGATTACGAAACATATGGAAATGAGTGAAGTTGACAAGATTTTCGACTGAAATATATGTGCAACACGTGAGAACGCCAATTTAGTTGCTAATCAAGGAAAGCTCAAATCCTGTGGCAGAAGTTGAGCTTGAGTTATTCATCATCTTTTCATGGTTCATCGTAAACCAATCTGTTTTCGCATAATGTCAGATCAAAAACCTATGCTTCATAAAGTTATCTCAGTCCAAAAAAAAAAAGGCAAATATGGGAACCCTGTAAGACCAGCTAGCCTATCCAATGTCCACGAACTGGCCAGGAACACTACCATGGGCAATGGTGGAGAAGAGGTAACAGAGACCAATCTGTACTTTGCAGCTCCAGGGAAGTTGCTAGGTACATTCAAAAGGCATGACCAATTGAGCAAATTAAGTATAACTTACATTGAACTTGTAGTGCCGAACCATGCACTCTACTGAAGCTGGAAACCAAAAGCAAGCTGCTAAAAGCATTAGGATTTTAATCCATGGCACCATCTCCAATAATTATCTCTACCTCTTACTCAATGCCAAGCCCAAATTATTAGTTTTGCTTAATTTTTGGCTCTTTCTTGTTGTAAAGGTATTGAAGACCAAACTCAGACTTATAGAGAGGCAGAAACTCTCACTGGCCTCTGCTGCCGAGTCGTTTTTACTTGGTTAGGTGGAAGGGAAGAATACTTGAGAGGGAAGGGGGCAATATACAAATTACAGATAAAGAGCCAGAAGGTTCTGATGGAGAGATTTCTTGTGTATTACGCAAAGTAGTTATCCATCAAACCAAGACACATTTTGAAGCTAAGCCAGTTGAGCTCCCGATTCTATTTTTCAATTGACTTGGTGGTCAGCCATGGGTTGGTCCAACCGTATTGGGTAAAGCACACCCGATCTCAACCACATTGTTGATAGATTTCCAAACCCGTTTGAGGTCAAGCAGATCACATAATAAGCAGCAAGCAAAACTGAACCAGCTGCTAGTTCTTTTCACTTTGTTTTGTCTTGTTACCCTTTTGTGGGCATTATTGCAATTCAGCATTTGACTGGCAGATTGGTACAACAAGAATCTCCCTAATAGTAGTAGGATTAGCTATCATTAAGTCATTAATTACTTTCATATATTAACTAATGTGTTGAAATTGGATAATTGTCACTTCACCAATACTTTCTTTTCAATGTAAAAGTCTGAATTGGGTCATTTTCCATTAATTTGATGAACCCCTTGGAGAAGCAAACTAAGTGGAAACGGTGGGTAGATTGCAGACACAAAGAATAGCTAACCCAATAAAATATTTTTAGTTGAGGGATGCCTTTCATGGATACGTATCTCCAGAAGTGGAGTTTGTTTTCTGAAAGCTCTCATCCAACGCTTGTTTATTTTAAAATATTCCACTAATTAGCTTAATTATTTTTATTTGTTGCTTGTACTAAATAAATAAATAGGAGAAAAATAATAACTTTGTATCCTTATTTCTATTGTTGTCATAGCGACGTTTGTTGAATTTAAAGTAATGTCTGGAAAATGTGGATGTGACCGATCCCAACTGAAGCTCTAGAAGATGTCTCTGACTCTACCTGAGCTTGTGAAAACCATGAGAGATAAGACAGTTGTCGCCAGTTGTCGGCAATTCAATCAGGTTGAGTTGGACTGGACCTGGATAGCCTTGGACTTCATTTTCTTCCTTCTGGGCTTTGAAGCCTAACTACTTTGGGATGACTAGAAATTTTTTTTGGGCCTTTTAGGACATGACTGAATTGGGCTAGAATAACCAAAACCCAAAGCAGTTTTTGCACTCTATTCTCAAAGAATCCAAAGCAGAGAATAAATCTCCCAAATGTTTCTCCTTTAAAAAATTAATAAAAAAAATCTTAAACTATCGAAATTAATGCGTAATATTGCAGATTTAGTCACGATTCCATCATTTCAAAATTTATCGTATTATTAATTAAATTTAAATATTAATTTTAATAAAATTAAATCAACATAAATTTTTTATTAATTTTTTTTAATCACAATTATAATAATTTTTTTAATCATAGTTAGAATAATTTTTATTAATATTTTTAATTCTATCGTAATTAATCCGGGCCTTAAAATGTAAGTTTTAATATTTGTAATTTTTTTTGTTTTAAGCTGTGATTTTTTTATAAAAAATCTTGAAATTAAAGTGTCAAATTGTTAATTGTAAATAGTTATTACTCGCTAGATTAGTACTATTTATTTTTTCTAAAAAGGAAAAAGGTAAAGGAGGTTATTGATGGCCAATGAGAGTTAGGGTCATATGATTAGATTACAACCGATATTTTCAAGCCCCATCATAGATTTTGTTTGTATAAGATATCATTTGTTGTCATTTGGAATTGAAGGAAAAAAAATGGTTTAGACAATAAAACCCAAAACAGGAAGGGTTTAACCAGGGGTTTCCATTTTTCTTCCAAGTCTCTCCCACATTAATCGTCAGTGTAGTACATTCTATCTCTCTTTCTTTCTCCTGTAAGCATGAGCTCAGTGCCTTTGTTCAAGCCATGACTACCCAACCCCAATCCAACCACCGGCAAAGCCAACGTCTCCCCACCTGTCAACGCCACCCAACCACCACACCGGTCACTAGCTTTTGCGCCTCATGTCTCCGGGAACGTCTTGCTGGTATCCAAAATAACTCACCCACCGCCACCCCCACTCCCTCTACCTTCTCATTCCGCCGCTCCAAATCCTGCTCCGGTGGCCCTAACCCATCCTCCTCCTCTGCCGCCTCCGAGCTCCGCCGTAAATCTTGCGACGTAAGGGCCCACAATACCCTCCACTATCTTTTCGCCATCGATGACAAAACCCTCAATTTTAACCACCCTCCTTCAAAAGTTGAAGCTTTTCAAGGCTTTGAAGAAGAAGAAGAAGAAGGAGAGTTGAAAACGATGAAGGAATTCATAGATCTCGAATGGGGGAGCAAAAAAACTTCTGGGAGATCTTTATGGGAAGCAGCTTCGGTTTTCAGCAAGACATTGCGGAAATGGAGCAAAAAACAGAGCAAAAAGAAGGAGAAAAAGGAGGGTTTGGTTCTTCAGAAGGCAAACAGAAGGGGATTAAGAGAGACTCAGTCGGAGATCGGGGAATATGGGTTGTTCGGGAGAAGATCTTGTGATACTGATCCTAGATTATCAGTTGATATTGGCCGTTTATCTGTTGATGATTCAAGATTTTCCTTTGATGAGCCAAGGGCTTCGGGGGACGGTTATTTGATTGGGAAGCAGAATTCAAAGGTTAACGAGGAAGGGAATGTTGGGGAAGAGAGATTGAGTGTGGTAAAAGAGGAGGAAAGGAGTTGCCCTGGGGGGTCAGCTCAAACGAGAGATTATTATGCGGATTCTTTGACTAGGAGGAGGAGAAGTTTTGAACGGTCAGCGTCCAATAGGAAGATAAGTTTGGGGGAAGCTGAGGATTTCAAGTCTTCGATTTCAAATGCTAAAGTGTCTCCTGAGACTGTTGAATTGTTTCACGGGGCGAAACTGTTGGTTACCGAGAAGGAATTGAGGGATTCCAATTGGTATTCTAATGTGGAATCTGGTTCCAAGGATGTTGAGTTTGTTGCTGATGGGGTTGGTCAAAAAGGGTTTCATTTGAAGAAGGCCAGGAAATGGAAAAATGTTTGGAGTATCTTGGGTTTGATACAGAGGCAAAAAGAGAGTTTATTCGGAGAGGAGAAGAGGAATAATGGACGAGATGTGGGTGATGGGAGGCTAGCGGAGTCGTTGCAGAAGCCTAGGAGGGTGGCTAATGGAGAAGAAGATAGAGGTATTAGAGGAAATGTAGATGAAGCGACACTGGCGGAGTCATTGCAAAAGCTGAGGAGGTTGGCCAATGGAGATGAAGGTAAAGGTGTAGGAGGAAATGCGGCTGATGGGACGCTGGCAGAGTCGTTGCAGAAGTTAAGGAGGGGGGCCAATGGAGATGCAAATGGGAGTATTGTAAGCCAGAAGCTGATGCGGAGCTGTAGTGTTAGTTCTCGACATTCAGTGGATGGATCATCTTTCTATGGAATGAGTGTGCCTGAGTCTAAAGGCTATGGTGATCAGACAAGCGAGAATCTTATGCTGCAACATAATAGGAGTGTCCGACATTCTCCTAACCTTGATAATAGGCCATCGCGGTTCTACTTGACACCATTGCCGAGTTATAAGAACAGCAAATCTGGAATTAGGCTAAGAAACTCAAGCTCTGTAGGTGGGAATGGCGCTTAAATTTGTTACGTGTTGTAGAAACGTGTATGAATGTGTTCCTCCTTGTTCTATAGATAAAAAAAACCCACACCAAATGATCATCTTTCTTGTGCTAAGCATATGTTTTTCTAATAACGCAGCAATGGAGAAAATGGAACAGTGTCTTGCTATTGTGAGTATAGTGAGAATTGTAGCTTAGCATTCACAGGAAATGAAATCACGTTGTTCAGATTTTTTTCCCCTTTTTTCAGTGATGGCAAATACTTCTATTGTTCCCTTATTGTTCCTTGCTTGTACGCTTTGATAATGATCTGAATGTTTTATTTTCTTACATAGCTTTTCCCCTTGGCTTTCCCAGTCTTTTTTTTTTTTTTTCATGCCCCAAATGGCGACATGGAGTAAAGTAATGGACTATATTTGCAGAGATTACAGTACATTTTATTTTCTATTTTTACATGTAAAATAATGGTGTTATCTGTAATATGATCTTATATTAATGACAAGGCCTTCGTGGCCACCTCGTACCCTGACAAAGAATGAAGAATTCAACTGAAAATAGAGAGCTTAAGAGAGATTTAAGTTGCAAAATATGTTTTTTTAATAGATAAAATAAAATAAAATACAAAAAATAGACAAAAAGAAATATGAAAAATATATATATCACTGTTATTGACTTATTGGAAATTGATAATAATCATTTAATAAAAAATATTTTTTTTTATTAATTTTAATACTCCTTTGTCCATATTTCTTTATTGAGATGTTCAAAAATTGTCTTATTTTTTTGAATATCTAAAACTTTTTTTATATATTTTAAAGTTATTTTTTATGATTTTTATAACTTTTTGACATTAAAATTTATGAAATTTTTATTTTATAAAATTTAATATTAAATACATTAAAGTGAATTTTTTTTAATTTTATAAAAATTAATATATGGAAAAAATAATTATTTTCAATTTTCCTGAAATGGGCTTTTGGGTCCAATCACCCCCCAAAATCCTCAGATAGACAGGAAACCCGTGAGATTGAGTATTGACCCATTCCATTTTCAGATCCGTTGGTTGAGCCTTCTCCTTGAGCGCGCTTTCCTTTCATGCTCGCCACGTGTCCCCCCGGGCTTTTCCGAAACCAAATCGCTCCAAATAAGCTAGCCAACGTGGCGTTTCCCACTTTATGTAATTTTTTTTTTCCCTATCCTTGAATCTCTCAGATAATTTTCTTTTTCTTTCAAATTATTCCCATCTTCCCTCTGTTTCCTCTCTTGTCCTTTTTTCTTTTTCCAATTTTTGCTTTCAAAAATCTCAGCTCTTCGTATATTCCCCAAAAATATCTTTGGAAAATTTGGAACTTTCGTACGAACAAATATCAAAGACTTTGAGAGAGCGAGTTACCACTCATTACGCTACTCACTTTACATTCACTCAAGTTCTCTCTTATCTTTCTCTCATTTCTTAGTTTTTTTTTTTTTAATTATTTTTGTTAAGGAAATTTGAAGATGGTGGCGAACGGCAAAGCTGCAATGGAGAAAGTACCGTCGGTTGCGAATCCGTTAAGCGAAAAGCCAACGGAAATTGCATCGAACATCAGTTAGCACGCGCAGTTCAATCCTCATTTCTCGCCATTCAAGTTTGAGCCGGAGCAAGCCTTCTTTGCTACAGCCGAGAGCGTTCGTGATCGTCTCATCAAAGTATATATGTTCTTAATGGTTTCTTTTTGTTTTGTTTCTTTATTCGTTTTTGTAAACACCAAATTTAATCAGATTTTAATTTGTCGAATATATTAAGTTTTTGAGTTGAAGCTCAATTTCAATTCGATTAAATTTTAGGTCTAATTTCAATTCTAATACGCTTAAAATATTATTTGGATAAAGTCCGAGACCCAACTTCGGGCTTTAAGCCCAAAACTTACTCTTTTATTTATTTATTTATTTATTTTTATATTAAAATTGAAAAATATAAAAAAATACAAAAAAAAAAGAAAAAGAGAAAAATATAAAAATATAAAAACGAAAAAACAAAAGGTCCGATGGCAGTGGATGCCGTGCGCAATACCACTACCATCCCTTGTTCGTTTCTGTTCATCACCTATGTCCTATGCTCTTAGCATCATGCCCTATCCACCCTTAAATCTTTGAATTGTCAAAGTCAGACAAAGCAAAAAAAACAAGAGGGGGCAGAGAGATCGGTGCTGTATGGCACCTCATTTTATCAAGTCCTGTGCTATCTGCCCAGGTACAAGGCCATGGCAAAGTTTTATAAATAAAGTTTTTAGCCACCAAAAAAAAAAAAAAAGAGACCTAAAAAAAAGAAAAAATGAATGAAATGCAAAAAAAAAATTAATCAAAATCAGTTGTAACAAAAAACAAGTTAGAATACAAAAAAAAGAAAGAGAAAGAGTTTTGGCTGAAAGTTCAAGAGCAAATCCAACCTATTCGAGTCTCCTTTTGATAAAACAGACGTCAGATTTGGGTTTAAGGAGTTAATGAAAGTATTTTGATGTTTTTTAAAATTTTTTGATAACAACAACGATCTGAGCTTGTTTTTTGCAAAGATCACGAAAGTTGTCACAACGAATGGCCACCTACCCTTTTATTGTCTAAAGAGGAGGGGAGGTAATTTTTTTTTTAGGAGAGAAGAAAAAATGATCTGAAAAAAAAAAAAAAACTTTTATAGAAACTACCAAATATCAAAATGACGTAGTTTTAAAAAGTGTCAAAATGACATCGTTTCGAGATTCAAAAATTTACGCGTCGGCTCACGACTTGACCCGAAGTTCACGCACCTGATTTGATGATCCATTTTCAGTTTAGCCTTTGATTGGTCCATCTGAACCTACTCAGATCAAACCGAACCGACCCAAACTGTTGAATTGGAGTTGAACCGCTGAACCAACCAAATCGAATCGAGTCACGGAATCGATTAGACACGCGTTGACCAGATCGTTAATCGATCTGATTCAAGTAAAAAAAAAAATTTTTATATTATTTTTATAATATTTATGCATATTAAATTTTTATATTTATTAGAATAAATTTTGTTGAAGTAAATAATAATAAATGATAAAATATGTAGTTAAAATTTTTATAATATTGTTATTTTTTAAAATAAACTTTTAAAAAAATAAAAATAAACCTAATAATATTAAAAAAAAAAAAATTTTATCCGATGATGAATTCGTAGGTACTCTGAGTAATAATACTTACGAAATCTCTAGATAATAAAAAATTTTTAAATACTAACAGTGTATTGAAGTATTTATAAAAAAATTTTCAATACAATATTTTTTTTAAAATCATAAAATAATAAAAGAAATTAACTAATAGATAAAGAATAAGTGATAAAAAAATAAATGAAAAAAAAAATTTATCCAATGATGGGATTCTAAAAGTATTTTGAGTATAGATGTTTTAAGAAATTTATAGGTGAAAATATTTTTTTAAAATATTACTAGTATATTAGAATATTTATAAAAAATTTTCAATATAATAAAATTTTCTTTTTTTTTCAAAGTTTAATTTAATAATAATTTTAAAGAGTAAAAATAAAATGTGTGCATGAATATGTTAGCATTTGTATTGCATGCATAATATAGACTTTACAAAAGATAAATTCGAGTCTCTAAGGGTAAGATTTTAAGGTATTTCAAAAAACGATGTCTAAAAAATCTTTAAGTGAGAAAGAGTTCTTCTAATATTAATAATGTACTGAAATATTTTAAGAATTATTTCAATAAAAAAATTTCAATTTATTTTTCTGGAACAAAATTTGAACAATAAATAATAAAAAGATTAAATAAAAAACTAATTTCCAATAAATGAAAATTTGAGAAAATTATTTTTCAAACATAAAAAATAAGATTATTTTTATTAAAATCAATGGATAACATATAATTAAATGGTACCGTTTTTAAACGGATACTGTAAAAGTGTTAATTATTTCTTATGCATAATCAATTTTCGAATTCAGACTGTTTTACAGATCAAAAAATTATTTTTTTAATAAATTTTAATTAATTTTAAAATTTTAAAATAATAAATTTTAATAAGTGGTCAACACGTATAATAAAAAAAAAATTAGCGACGACTTCATTTTTTATTTTCAAATTCGTGGGACAACTCAAAATCGATAAATCCATTACGAAAGTTTTCATTGCAAAGTTTTTGGCTTATTAAGATTTTTTGTTCGATTTCTGTGAAGCAATGGAATGAAACTTTCCTTCACTTTCACAACGTTGATCCGAAACAAACTTATTACTTATCAATGGATTATATTGAAGGACGAGCTTTGACTAATGCGATTGGGAATCTTATCATTCAAGACGCTTACGCCGATGCTTTGAACAACTTAGGACATGAACTCGAAGAGATTGTTGAGCAGGTAATTCATAAATCAACTTACTCATTAATTTTGTTACTTACTTCATATTTTAAATAAATAAAAAAGAATAGATTTTCTTTTTATTCTTTTTAAATTTTTAGTTTTAATGTGCATTGTTTTGGTGAGTGCAAATTTTGTATAGCAGAAAGATGCTGCACTTGGAAATGGTGGTTTGGGAAGACTTGCTTCTTGTTTTCTCGATTCCATGGCTACACTGAATTTGCCTGCTTGGGATATGGTTTAAGGTGTAAATATGGGCTTTTCAAGCAGCGGAGCACTAAACAAGGACAAGAGGAAATTGCTGAGGATTCGCTTGAGGTTGGTTCAGTTTCAATTCATGTAGAAGCTGTTCCAAAATGTTGTGTGGACTTCCTGGGACTATACACGGATGCTTCTATTTTGGTTGGAAATTTTTGCAGGAGTTTAGTCCTTGGGAAGTTGTTAGGCATGATATAGTGTTTCCTGTCAGATTCTTTGGTCGTGTTGAGGTTAATCCAGATGGGTCGTAAGTGTTAATATAAGGCTTAATATTCTTCTTTCAACCCTGTTTGGTCGTTATTTTTACTGGTATTTGTTTTATACTTCCTGAAAAGTTGCTAAGTTCAATCATGCCTTTTTAATTAAAAATTTTTCAATTTTTAGTTTGTGATTCTTCGAAAATATTATGGTTTTGTCTCCAATGCACTTTTCCATTTTAGCTCTGGGAGCAAAAGAAATAACCGAACAGAGGCTTCATACTGTATTCTGTTTTTCTAGTTTGAATGTCTTATCTACTGCTTCAGTTTTTATAAAATATATATTTCATTAAGTTATGTTATTGAATTCAAATGCATTGCAGTCGAAAATGGGTTGGAGGAGAGGTAGTGCAAGCTCTTGCTTATGATGTTCCAATACCAGGATACAAAACCAAGAATACAATTAGTCTGCGCCTCTGGGAAGCAAAAGCTTATGCTGGGGATTTTAATCTGTTTCAGTTTAAAGACGGACAATACGAATCTG